GTTCAAATCCCAGCTCTGCTACTTCTGTGTGTCCTGGGGCACTCAAGTTCCTTGCTTTCCTTATCTGTAAAATGGGAATATTCCAACTCCGACTTGGCGTTGGCATCGTTTTTGCTATATACTTATTAGTTGACCCCAGTTTTGCCTTGGAGGGTCGCAGAGAGCAAATCTGAGTCTCACAAGGGCAGCAGGGGCTTCTGCCTTCCCCGGGCCCCCCGGAGCCCCCCTCCCGCAGCGGTGGATCCTGATTGGTCTGTGATGGTCTCATTCCCTATGCCAGTGATTGGTGCAGGCCTGTTCATGTGACCCAGTTCTGCTCAACGAGATGAAGAAATCTGTGCAGGAGTGGGGTGTCTTCCTGGAGAGGTTTCTGAGACACTCTGGAGGCCGGGAGCCTTTCCCAATGTTGGGTTTCTTCCTGACTGCCAATACAGCTAGAGCCGCCCCGCCCATTCCAGAGTGAGCCACACCGCCATGTCAAGGATGGCCAAATACAGACAGGAAGACCGGGGTCCTTGAGGACATCATCAAGCCTTTAAGTTACCACCCTTGGAACACCCGACTCACAACCTCTTATCACACAAACCTATCAAACTTAGGCCAGCTAAGTAAAGGCTTTTTGTTATTTGCAACCCAAAGCATCCTGCCGATATCCCAAGGTTGGTCACATCTCCTCTTCTTGAGAGTAAGCCCATCATACCAGAGGAAGGGTCTAAGCTCAGCCTGTGCACTCAGGGAAGACTTCCTGGAGGAGGTGAAATGGAATCCAAAAGAATGAGCAGGCAGATAAAGGGAGTAGGGCAAAGGGTAACATTCCAAGCAGAACAAAGGCCTGAGGTTGGAGACGCCATAGTGTGTGTGTGTGTGTGTTCGCGCGTGTGCATGCAGGAGAAACAGTCTGTGTGGCTGGGAGAGGTGAGGCTGCAGAGTCAGAGGTGGGGTGGGCTGCAGTGGGCCCTCAGCCAGGCTACAGAACCTCAGGCTATCACAAGGGCAGAGGAGAGGTTCTGTGGATGGCCTTGATTTTGTTCCCCTGGGGTCTCGCCCCCGGGCTTTGTGGCTAGAATAAGTGCACTCAGCGGGTCCAGCCGCACCCAGATGCTCCCCTGAACCTGGGAAGGGGCAGGGGTGCTGGGCCTGGCTGCCCCAGGTGTGTTCCTGCCTGCTGGGCCTCTTCCAGCCCCCAGAGCGCTCATAAGAGACTAGGGCTGAAATCTGGGTCACTCCACGCACGAGTCGGACATCCATCAAACAGGCAGTTACTAAGTGCCTACAAAGCAGTGAGCTAAGCACAGCGGAGAAAGGACCTGGTTCAAATCCCAATTCTGTCTCTTCCCAGCTGGGTGACCTTGAGTAAGCCACTTTCCCTCTCCAAACCCAGCATCTTTACCTCTTTGTGAGAGACCTCAGGTGAAACCAGTGGTTAGCTCACTTCTCTCTGGTACTGGCGGGGGTGGGGGGGGGTAAGCAGTGGGTAAAACAATGCTCAGAAAGCTTCCTGGGGATAAGGTTTCTCATCTGGGTGGGACTTCAAGAGGCCCACAATATGCTGTGATGGACATTTGAGCCAGGATGAGAGCTTCTGGGGAGGGAGCATCTAAGGGGGGCGGTGAGGAAGTACAAAACGGAGCCGGTAGGTGAGGCGGGTCGAGTGTTCCCAGAGAGAAAAGGTCCACAGAGGCAGGGCGGAAAGGATACAGGAAGCCTACAGCTTCCGTTCTGTGCCCCCGAAGCCTTTAGAACCGTGTGCTGCCCACGGAAGTGCTGGACGTTACTGTTGAATATGGGCGTCGTTTGAGCCTGTAATAGCAAATCTCTGCGCTTAAGCCAGAAGATGCAGATTCAAAAATCTCGCCTCTCCTGCTTACCACGTGACCTTGAGCAAGTCACTTTGCCTTTGAGCTTCAGACTCCTTCTTTGCAAAGGGGGCGTAAAACCCAGTTCACGGAGCTGTATGGTGGTGTGTGCAGGGTCTAGGACCAGGATCCCCTTTCCCACCTAGCTAATTCCTATTTTAAAGCCCTAAGATCCAGTGCCGCCTCCTACAGGGAGCCTTCCAGGCTCCCTCAGGAAATCCCCCAGACCTGTCTACTACCCCAGCTGACCCCCTTCCCTGACTCCACCTTGCTCTATTGTGTCTTCCTTCTCCCGCCATCAGGCTCTGGGCTTGGAACAGGGAGGGGCAGGGTATCTTAGCATCTCTTGGACCCAGCTGCACCCCCCCACACACAGGGAGTATCTACCAATGCCAAGTCCTTCCCCGAGGCGCCACGAAGGTGGAAACAAGAGGGGAAAAGTGATTAAGTGTGCTGGGGGTGCAGAGAAGGGGAGGGGTTCAGGAAAGGTTCAGGGGTGATATCGCTAGATCTTAGAGGGGTGAAGAGAAATTTACTGGGAAAGGGGCATGTTTCCAGGCAGAATCAGAAGTATAAAAGCACAGGGGTGTGAAGGATAGGGTAAGTAAATTGTGGCTCACCAGAGTATCTGCCCTGAGTGGCTAAAGATGAGGATTCTGGATCTAGATCCCACGGGCCTCAAATGCCAAGCCAAGCGCCCAACCCTATAGGAAGAGGCCGAAAACTTGTGACTGAGCAGCGTAGCGACCCTGGGTGTGTGTGTGTGTGTGTGTGTGTGTGTGTGTCCACGCGCCTGGCCACTGCAACAGTTTGAGCTAAACTTAGGTTGGGGGTGGGGTGGGGAAAGTGATAGGGCTATGGGCCACCACTGGGGGGCAGGTGCTGGTGGGAGAACCAAAAAGGAGCAAAAGTTTGCCCTGGAGGACTGATTATTCAAAATATTTCAGGAATATATCCACACCCAACTACCCCTCGCTAAAAAGCCAGCGTCCACAATCATTGCATGCTACACACAGCAGCTCTGTGAGAATGGGGGGGGGGGGTCCTTCATTACAGGGGGACAGAGTGAGGGTCCGACGAGGAAAGGGACCCTGCCACAGGCATGCAGGCAGTGCGGGGCAGGCCACAACCTGAAGCCAGCATCCCGGCCCAGAGTGCAGGGGAGGCAGGCCTTAAGCTGTCTGACAAATGTGCTCAGCACCTTCTAGAGCCAGACCCTGCAGACGAGGAGGTGACCTTTGACCTCTGAGTCATCTTGAGCTTGGACTGGACACCTGGGCCACAGACCAGCGGCCTCCAGTAGAGGAGAGAGAAGGGGGAACTCAATGAGGGGTAGGTTTTCGTGGTCAGACAGGTCAGCAGGGGCTCACCCCCCCAGCTCCCCCCCCCATGTCTATCTGTCTGTGAGTCTTCTAAACTGGACCCTGGGGTGGAGGCTGGAAGAGGGCCAGTCCCTACACAAAGGGTGAGGGGCAGAGGGAGTGTCTCTTTGCTGCCTTTCTAAGAAGCCCCCAAATGCCCCCTCCTCCCAGCACCCACCCAGGCCCCGCTCAGCCGCAGCCTGAGTCATCATCCTGGTTTGAATGGTAGCCGACAAATCAGCCAGGGGGCTGCCTAGGGCTGAGGGCCAAGGGTTGGAAAAACAAGGCCGGTTTCTCTTACCTCCAGCCTTGGAAGCTCAAGACAGGCTAGGGGGTGGGGGGCAGAGGGCAGGTTGAGGCGGGATGGGGGGGTGTCAACAGCCAGAGGGGGGGCGGGGGGACAGAAAGGTTCAGAATTTGAGCTGTTGGCTTTTGTTTTCAAATGACCTGTTTAATAATTACCTGTGCAATCGAAGGAGCCACAGCTCGGGGAGGAGAGGATTTCAACCCTCCATACCCCACCGAGCAGCCCAGCAGCCTGAGAAGAAAGTAAACAAGATGCCACCAGCGGATCTCACCCCATCTCGCAAACAATGGCGGGACTGAGCTGCCCGCTCAGGCACACACATCAAAGTGATATTTCCAGGCAAGAACTTTAACAGGCAGATAAGAGGCTCGGACCGAATTCTTTCCCTGCATCCCCAGAGCTTCCCTGCGCTCGGAGCCCAGGGAGGCAGCCTTAGGGGCCCGTCATTTCAACCTTAACCTTGACCTGTAATGTATTCATTCATTTTGCAGCGAGGGAGAACCAGCTCGGCCCCAACCCCGAAAAACCCAACCAGCAACAACTTCATCGCTTTGAACAGTCACAATGGTGGACAAACAAGGGATTTAAGTTACAGCGGCTACCTCGCGCTCACACTCCACTGGGCTCGGGCTCCTTAAAAAACACACCCCAATCCAAGCATCCACCGGGGCTCACAAAGTCAGACCCTGACCTGGCAGTGGGAAAACCCAACTTGGTTTTTTTTGTTGTTGTTGCTTCTTCCCCAATCTCCCAAGGCCTTCAACTATTTTTTGCCCCTGCAGCATCCAAGCCCAGCCTCGAGGCTGAGCCATAAACACGCCTGCTCCTCCCCCTTCCACGGTTCGGCAACACCGCCCCCCGCCCCCCCGCACCTTCCACCTTCCCGGACCTGGAGGAGAAAGAAGCACCGCGACCCTCACCCGCAGCCCCTCCCGGGCCCTCCCGCAGCCTCCCGCGCCGTCCGCAACCCTCGCAAGCACCTTGAGATAAACACCCACTAATGATTTTATGCTTTTCTGCTCTGGGTAGCCGCGCTCAGCAGAATCCCTCCCCCGGCCCCGGCGACTGGGGCCGGCCCAATCGAGGGATTGGGGGATGGGGGTGTTAGTTTGTTTTTTCCACTGTCGCGTCCCCACACCTGGTTTTCATTCATTCATTCGTTCGTTCATTCATTCACGGTTTCGTCACTGCAGCTTCCCCGGCCCTCCGGATCTCGGGGAGGGGATGGGAGGGAGGGGACCGAGATGGGGGTGGGGGGAGAGAGACAGCGGTGGGGGTGCACCGCGGGGGGGTGCTCGGGGTGGAAGGACCCCGGTCGAGGGCAGATCGGGTGGCTTTGTCGAAAACAAGGCGGGCGGCGGGGCGGGGGCGCTCCCCGGGGCTCGAAGTTGTTTTCCGAGCCGCCGCGGCGAGGACAGCCGCCCGGGTGCGCCTCTTTGTCTCTCCCCGGCCGGCGCCGCGTCCCCGCGCGCTCACCTGGTCTTGGAGGACAGGAAGGCAAGTTTGATCAGGCCGTAGGTGAAGAGCGGGATGCTCTCCTTGGCGACGCTGGCAACTTGCAGCCGGTGCTCCAGAATGTGGAGTTCCATCGTCCGCCCGCGCTCCGCGGCGGCTCATCGGCGGGGGGCGAGCCGCGGCCCCCGCCCCCTGCGCGCCCAGCCGGCACCGAGCGCCGCGGGCGGCCGGCCCGGGGACCGGGAGCTCGGCGCCGGGCGGCCCGGGACGGACAAAGGGGAGGCCCGCCGAGCCGCGAGGGGCCGCGGGCGGCGGGCGGGCGGCGGGCGGGCGGCGGGCGAGGGCGGCAGCGCTGGCGGAGCGGCGGCGCGCGGCGCCCGGCGCGGAGAGCAGCTGGTGTTCGCTGTAACAAACAACTTGCCACTCAAACGCCGGCCCGCTGGGCATGCGCGGCCGCTGCGGGGCGTGCCGGGACTTGTAGTCGCGCGCGGCCCGGGAGCCGCCGGCCGGGGCTGTCGGGGGCTGGGCGGCCGCGCGAGGGGCCGGCCGGGCGCCCGCGGAAAGCAGGAACGCGGGCGCCTGCCCGGGCCGCAGGGAGGGGGGCGGCGGGGGGGGGGCGGGGAGCGGCTTGGGCCTAGCTGCGAGCTCTCGCTCCGAGCTCGGGACCCCGCCCTCCGGGGTGCAAGCGAGCAGCCGACACAGCTCCGGCGCCGGAGGAGGCCCGGATCTGGGAGGGGAGAGATTTGGAGAAATCGGTGGTTAAAGCGCCGAGAAGCAAAACAGACATGGGTGCTGCGGACAGAGGTGGGGCCGAGGGGATCTGGGCGGGGAGCGGGGGGGGGGTTTCCTGGAGGAAGGGTCATCCAGGCTGGGTTCTGAAGGATGAATGGGAGCTCGCCGGGGAGGGGGGCGGGGCGCGGGGCTGGAGGCCCGAGGCCTTCCAGGCAGAAGGAACAGCGTGTCCAAAGCACAGAAGCGTGAAAGCCCCCACTGTGCTGTGTTTGGCTTTGCTGGAGCGGAAAATGTGAGGGAGGAGAGGCAAGAGATAAGGCAGGCGTAGTCACCAGGAGTCCGGTCGAGAGGGGTCATGTGTGCAGATCTAATGAGGTGGCCATTTAGCCCGCGCGAGATTGGGTGACGGGGACTGCGACGGCCGAATTAGTGAACAATCCGAAATAATCCGAAGGGCTTCCCACCCCGGGGCCAGTGTGCCGTGACCATGGCCTAGCAACGGATCCCCTTAGTGGCTGGCTGGTTTGAAATGGTCTAGGTTAAAGTTGCTGGTGCCTCGCTCTTCGGCAGAGTAATCTGGGGACAGGATGGGTCAGGTTTACCTGCTGGGGCAGTCCGGGAAGGCTCTTTTGGGGGGAAAACTCCAGCGATGCCCTCCCACATTCTCTTTCTGAGACCGCCTCTGTTAGGTGGGAACATATGAGGCTCCCTCATTTCCACAAAGGGGTGTGAAGCCTGCAATCTGGTAGCTCTTAGAGCAGGCTGATCCCCTTACTGCTTTGTTTTCACTAAAGAATTTATCACCCTCTAATAAAGAATATATTTACTTTTTTGGTTTGTTTGTTTTGGTTTGTCTGTCTCCCTCTTGTAGAATCTCAGCTCCATGAAGGCTCCACGTCTGTCTCCCTCTTGCAGAATCTCAGCTCCATGATTTTTGTCTGTTTTGCTGTATTCCCAGTGCTTGCGGTGTGACTGACCTGTGAGAGACAGGCGTTTCAATATTCATGAAGTGCATAAATACAAACCCTATTCTTTTAGAGTCCAGGGGTCTAGAAGGGCCAAACAGAAATGCATTCAGCGCCCAGGCAAGTAACAGCGATGTGTGAACCAGTTGGGTATCAGACAGTTATTAAAACAAAAAACAAAAAACAAAAAAAAAGCAACCACAGAAACCACCAACAGGTGAAACCAAGCAAACAAGACTAAAGGTAGGACTCAGTCCGCATTCTGACTTCTGCACTGGATGGCCTCAGTCAGTATTTTTTAATCTGTAGTCCATGCCCCATGAGCAGATGGTGAAATCAATTTAGCAGGGCCGACTAGCATTAAAGACAAAACAAAACAAGAATAGAAGATGGCACAGAGCTTTGCACGTCGCAAGGGTAGGTTACCACTATGTTTTCTAAGTTGCAGGAAACTTGAATTTTGGCCTGTGTGTCCACGTGTGCCCACGTGGTGGATCTTCATACAAAGGTGTTTCTTACTGTGGTCTCGGTCGAAAGCATTTGACAACCCTGTGGGTTTTCTGCTGGTCAAGCCAGACCATCATAACGTTTGCAAATTTGACGGTATGGCTTTGTCTTGCATAATTGGTGCTTCCGATTTTTGTGAAACAACTCCAGAAATCAAAGTTGAGGTGTTACAGAGATGGCCCTGTGGGTTGCCAAATCCAGGGGATATTTTCAGGCTGGGACTAGGGTGAGACATGCACCTCGACGTCACGCAAGTTAAGGCTGGCGTGGCATTTTCCCAGTGGAATTCACTCCTCTCCCTCAATTCCTTAGCGCCGTACCCTTCTGGTCCCCCCCCCCCTGGTTCTTCCAACTTGCCATCTGTGGTTTCTTCTCTGCCCAACCCTAAAACGAATGGAGGCCCAGTTGGCGTTCCTTCCTGTAGTGCATTTTTACCGTAATGGCTGCCAGTGAATCGTGCCCCCTGGTAAGGCGTCCCGCGCTGACTTTGGTTTGGCTATAGGACCTTTTTGGCCAATGTGCCTGATAAGTCCTGTACACTGGGACTCACCCACTTAGAATGCTGCCCTGAGAACCACCGCACTGTGGAGAAGTCCGGATGAAAGACCACAGGGAAGGAGGGGCCCGAGTGTTCTGCCGTTCCCTGTGGACAGCTCGCCTCAACTACCTGACATGAGAGTGAGACCCTCTTGGACCTTCCAGCTCACTGTCCCGGATGAATGCAGCCTCCTGAGTGAGACAGGTGAAACCAGAAGAGCAATTACCCAGCCAACCTGTAGAAAAATAACAAATAGTCGTTTTTAGCCACTAAGATTTGGAGTGGTTTATTATATAGCAATAGATAATTCAACCCTCATCTTCTCTCACTCTATGGGTGGACTTAGTCTCTGGCTTCTAATATGTCGATGGTCCCCAAATTGACAGTTCCCGGTCGGAATATGTTCTTGAGGCCCTGATTCATGTATCTAGCTTCCTACAAGTTGGCTACCTCCATCTAAATGTTGACAGGCTCTGCCAACCCAACCTGTTTGAACCTGACCTCACTGTCTGACTCACCTCCGACCTTCTCCCCTTCCTCCTGGAATCTCTGTCTTGGTAAAGGACACCAGGCCTCTTTCCTCGAGTTACCAGCCTGGTGTGGCACGCTGTATTTTCCAAGATGGCAGCAATAAGATCTTCCATCCTCCATGTTTTTCCTGCGACATGCTAATCATCCTGTTAGGAGGTGAGTCTATGTTCCCTCCCCTTGAATTTGAGCAGGACTGTGACTTCTGAAACTAAGTCCTGACAGGTGATACTGTTTACACCTGGTCCTCTTGGGATGCTCTCCCTTGGAACCATTTTGCCATGATGTGTGGAAGCATGGGCCACACAGACCACAGGTAGGCATTGGTATTGGTTGGGTAGGGCTGTGTAACAAACTACCACAGACTGGGCTGGGACTTACACAGCAAAAATGTATTGTTTCACAAACCTGAAGGCTCAAAGTCCGAGATCAGGATGTTGGCAGAGTTGGTTCCTTCTGAGGCTTCTCTCCTTGGCTTGTAGAGGTCTGTCTTCTCCCTGTGTCTTCACATGGTCTTCCTCTATGTGTGTATCTGTATCCTAATCTCCTCTTCTTATAAGGACACCTGTTATATTGATTAGGGCCCACCCTAATGACACCACTTAATCACCCCTTTCAAGGGCTTGCCTCCAAATATGGTCACATTCTGAGGTACTGGGGGTTAGGACTTGAACATTTGAACTTTGGGGATACTAGACACAATTTGGCCCATAGCAGTACTCCAGCCAACAGACCCACTGAGGTTCCAGCTGGAAGCCGGCATCACTACCAGATGTGTAAGGAAGTCTTTGTAGGACACAAATGCATGAGAGACCCCCCCCCCCAAGCAAGAACCACCCTGCTGAGACCAGCCTCTAGAACTCTGAGAGGTAATAATAAAATATGTATTGTTGTTTTAAGCCAACCATTTTGAGATGGTTGGGTAAGCAGCAATTGGTAACTGGAACACCCTGGAATCAACATGGGGGTGGAGAACGGAGGAAGTTGATTGGGGAATCATCCTAGATTGCTCTCTCGCTTCCTGTTCCCCCAACCCGATCGATTGATTGATAGATAGATAGATAGATTTTTTTAAGGTGGGGAGGGGCAGAGGGAGAGGGAGAGAGAGAATCTTAAGCAGACTCCAGTGTGGGCGCCTGACGTGGGGCTCCATCTCATGACGCTGAGATCATGACTAGAGCTGAGATCATGACCAGAGACGAAATCCAGAGTTGAACGCTTAACTGATGAGCCACCCAGGCACCTCCCCACTCCCCAACCCCTATATCTGATCAATCACCAAGTCCTAATGATTTTATTATATACCATATATCTCTAATCCAGCATCTCTCTCCACACTGACCATCATGATCCCATGTCAGATCATAATTCCCCTGTCCTAAAGGTCCTAATGCCCATTCTGTCCGCATAATGTTCCCAGGGTAGCTGTTCTACTCTGTGACCCTACTCCCCTGTAACTCCTCTGCCTAACGCCCTTTAAGGGCCAGGAGGAAACCACAGCTCTCTTAAGAAAACCGAGCTCAGATCCTCCACAGCTGGTCATATGTAAAAGGGAAGGCACTTCCTGGTTCCTAGATGCACCATTTTCAATATGGTGGCCATGAACCACATATGGCTATTGGGCAGTTGAAATGTGGCTAGTGCCATGAGATACTGAAGTCTGAATTTCACTTCATTTTAATTTAAATTTTAAAACTGCTACTCGTACTGTATGGTGACTAACATAACATAATAAAATAAAATTAAATTAAATTAAAAAATAAAAAATGCTACTCGATTCCATTATTAGAAAGCATTCAAGGGGCTCCTGGCTGGCTCAGTGGGAAGAGAGTGCAACTCTTGATCTTTGGGTCGTGATTTTAAGCGTGTAGATCTTGGGTGTAGAGATGACTTAAATAAATAAACATTAAAAAAAAAAAAAGTTCAAGTATGTTTGGAATAGCCTGATTAACTCCTCTTTTTTCTG